AAGTCCTAATGAATATGAACTTTGGGGGAGAGACAAGCTTCTTTGTTTCTTTTTATTCACCTTTGTCAATTAAGATAATTTGTTTCTTGACTAATAAACACTTTGACACTTTCAGCCAGGGGGAAAAAAATAACAATAATGGTAATTTTCAAGAAAGAAAATAGTGACTTTTAGACAGATAATCTTCATTGATTATGAAGGAACTAGGAAAAATGTTACTGGATAAATGTATGCAAACCAAAATGAATTTGCTTCATAATTGCAAAAATTCTGACTTCTTGTACAGTTGGGGAAAGGCATACAGTTATTTGTGTGCCTGTCTGTTTTCTACAAATTGACTTACCTCTACAGAGTTTTACAATAGCTTAAAGCAGTAAATGTACAAACTCCATCAAATCCAGTTACTTGGAAAGTGATGTCCTAAGCAGTGTGTGGTTTTACATTAAAGATACTTCGTAATATTTTCAATCCATTTAAAAATGTTTCACAGTTTATTCTTATGTTGAAAAATAATAGCCTTTAAAACCTACTTTTTGTACCATAAGTTCCAGTTTGTAGACAAAGTATCCAAATTGGCCTAAAATCACAAAAAGAAAACCTGTAAAAATAGAAACTTAATGTTGTTATGCCAGATAGGAAAATGTTTATTTTAAAAGACCGTTAACAACCAACTAATACATTTCAAGATTTCATCAGTGTTAATTTTGATTTTCAGAGGTAACCTAACAAACTACTATTATGTTTTATTTTAAGGAATATAAATTTCAATAAAGCTACTAAAATGCAAAAAAAAATTAAATAAATAAAAGACCGTTAACTGACTTTCCAAAATAAGATGTTATTTTCTCTAGAAACAAGCTTATAAAGTCTGTGGGTATCTAATTGTCTAAATAATAGTCTGATTAGAAACTGTTTTAGAATTTGGCTGTAAAAGTTTTAAGACCCATTGTATCTACTCTGCTTAAATTGATGGAAAATTATTTGTCATGGTATAACCATTTAACAATTTGTAATAATTCTTATAAATAAAACCAATTTTTGAAGTTGCAGTATCCTTTGAATGGTAGATAGTATAGAAGTTTGAAATTATTTTGGCAATGGTGTTTTCTTCTTAAATTTGCTAGATGCCACTGGAAAAATCATATTTGCAAGGAATAAAAAATTTAAAGATTTTAGTTACTTAAGAATGGAGCACAGTAATAGCATTAGAGTATGTAGGCAAATATTATTAATCTATTACTTAATATTAATATTAATAAAATTAATATTATTACTTTTTCCTACTTACAAATGATTCCTCATAGTCATAACCTTTCAGACAACTTTGTTCATCTATTATTGTTGCAAACTGAAATTGGCCTGTCTCCCATAATCCTGTCCCTGGCCTTGTTAATAGATTACAGCATTCCACTTGTTAGTCCCAGTGACACCAGAGAAATAATTTACTGTTATGCTGCTTTATAATGATAAAGAAGAAGTCTTTTTATGGTAGTTGAATTTTCAAAACAATTGATAAGGAGACAGAAGTTGGATATCAAACAGAGGTACATTAACTTGTTATCTGCATAGCTGACACAGCCTCTTAAATGCTCATGATGACAGGAACCCTTCTGAAGTGAAGGCTTGCTCAAATGTAGATAATGGAGAGGTTATTTTTTTCCCCCAAATACAAGAAGACTAATCTTCCATTTGTAAAACAAAAATTCCTGGTACATGTAATTATTGAACAGTCCACTTTGTTTCTTAATAGATTAGAAAACGTGTTCAAAAAATACATTCGTTCAATACTATCTGAGAAAGTTTATTGATTAGCATTTTAACATCTCAAGAAGAGCAAGATTATTACTTACTTACCTTAAAATAAATTAAAATTATGCAAAACTATCTACAGATTTCAGGCTGGAATGAAAGTAAACCAGTTCTTTATAGTCTTAAAATTGTAGTGAAAATAAATTTCTATTTAAACTATTCTTTATTTCTAGTTTTTGTCAAAATTGATAGGTAGGTAGTAGTTCTAGGCCTATCCATTTGCTGTACAGAGATAACTTGAGGTTGCTGTGATGCTAAACACTGTAACACTAATGTGTCAGATGTGATAATAGTTACTCATGGTGGACAGTGTTTGGTGGAACTCCCTGATTAAAACAAGCTTGCAAACAGGACTGGCATCTACTTCTGAAATATCTCGCTTTCAGAAACTCTATGAACGTGGAGAAATGATGAAAGTTAATAGGGTCGCTGTGAGTCATCTATGACACCTAACAACAACGACATGTAGTTTATGGTCTTTAAATGTGTCCCAGTATTCAGAGTTTTAACGTTTTCAGTACTGATAGCAACCTGCAGCAAATTGGCAGGCAAACCTTGTCCATGTGATTAGTTAGACCCACAGAACGCAGTGCCATGGGTCACATGGTATGTTTGCTATATCTGTATTTCATGTAATGAGACCTTGTGTATGGAATTCTTGGCACATGCTAAGTAATTTCATAAGTTAACATGTCTATACTTATGATTCCTTATACATACAAAAAAAATAATCAAGTTGAATCCATTTTAGATAAATGAAAACATTCTCCACTGTTAATATATTATGTTTATGTTTATATTCTACTTTCAAGAAAAAAGATAAAATAAGCATCTTAAGTATTGAGTCATATAAGATACTAAGAGCTAGTGTTGTAAGTTCTTTAAAAGATAAATATAGTGTGTTGTTATGTACCATTGAGTTGAAACCAACCCATCACTGACCCTCCAGTGGGTTTTCAGAGGTAATGAATCTCATAGGAGGAGATTACTCATTCTTCTCCTATGAACAACTAGTGGATGTGAACCTCATACCTTCAGGATTTCCATACAACTTCTTACCACTAGGCCATAGCTTATTAATTATTAATTAACTTATTTGTAATCGAACATTGTACACTATATTAAATGTGTTGCAAACACATTTGTCTTAACTATTTACTGATTTTTATTTCCCTCTCCCACCTTCGCATTCCTGGTAAAATCAAAGAATGTTTCAACATGTGAATCTTTTTTTTAGCTTTTTATAATAGTGGGCTTAAACAATACCTGTCCATTTGTCCACCTGGCTTATTTGGAAACATTTAATAACTTCCTAACACTTCTCTGTGGATGGCTAACTGGAATAAATCAACAAGTCTCAAGGTTTAAGTTATTGAAATTGCTACTTCTCCAAATCCACAGAAAACAACACCTTAAAATGAGAATCACAAAGATTGAAATGCAGGAGCAAACAGAAAGCCTTAGACATTCTAGAAATAAACTAACACGGCAAGTGTTAGGACAAGGTTTCAAGCTGTTTTTCATGAGTTCATTATGTGTCATTGTTGACTCAGCAGCATCTGATAACAACATTTAAGTAATTGGTTTTAAATTTGTTTTTTTTAAAAAGCTAATCAGTTCGTGATGACTTTGTAAATTTAAAAACTTTTAAAAGAAGCCAGAATATGAAACCAGCCCCTTTGCATTATATTTTTATCCTCAAGCAAAAGGAATAATAGTTAGTATGATTTTAAGATACTTCAGTGACACTCAAGATATTCTCCAGAAAATCATTTTAGTAAATTGGATGAAACTATGAAAGAGCTCAATTAAAAGGGCTAGGGGGCAGGGGGTTGAGGGTAGCAGCTTTTTATTAAAATTATTTTTTTAAATATGAAGTAATTAATATTATAATGACTAACAAACACATGAAGAAATTCTGTGGATTATTAAACTGTTAGATGCAAATCAAAACAAGGAAGGAGACATCATCTTATCTCCACAATCATGGCAAATTCTACGGGAAAGGCTGATGAGGATGTGAAGTGATCAGAATTTTCATTCACTGCCGAATGGACTGAAAAGGCACAGTCACTGAAAAGTAATCTGATGTGTCCTTAAGAAGTTGAAAATGAAAATCTATTTGATCCAGCAATCACCTACCACCTTTATTGTCATAAAGGCATAAGAGCACTACACAAGCAGATAAATGTACAGTGTTGTTCATTCCAGCATTATTTACAATAGCAAAGAGAGAGAAACAACCCAAGTGTGCATCAACAGGTGAACTAGCAATAATATATACACACAATGGAATACTGCACAACAACTAAAGAATAATGAGTTTTAAAAATCCCATATAACATGGGTGAATCTGGAAAATTGAACATAGTAACGTAAGTCAGTTACAAATGGACAGGTATTGTTTAAGCCCACTATTATAAAAAGCTAAAAAAAAAGATTCACATGTTGAAACATTCTTTGATTTTACCAGGAATGCGAAGGTGGGAGAGGGAAATAAAAATCAGTAAATAGTTAAGACAAATATTAGATAAGGGAAAGGCAATAATAATAAAGGTTGTTCAGCTCATTATCACTAAAAAGGAAGACAAGTTTATAATAATAGCATGATGTACATATAATTTATAAAGTAGTCACTAATGACACATAAATACTACATTTCAACTTTAATACTTCTAAATTATATAGTAAGAATGTAAATATTCAAACAGGAATGAAATGAAAGATACTGAGATACTGTAGTAATTCTTTCTGGTAAACAGAGTTTAAAAAAAAAGAATGTCAATAGATGAAGTTGCCAAAATCTATAACTTTCTAAAATACTCTGGTAATTTCTCTTAATAAACATTTTGATACATTACTCTTTTAGATCTTGCATTCATTGGATAAACTTAGATAAATTGGTCAAGTTGTAATCCGGTTTGAGTGTAACTTTCAGAGAGCAGTGAGTAATTTCGTGTTCTATAAGTCATCTCAAGAATGACTCCTCTTATGTACAGCTAGAACATTTATTTTTATTTTATCTAAGATTTACCTTATTTGAGAAACCTGAGTACATTTATGATAATTTTAAATCATTTCAGTGGCTCGTATGTAATTCATTTAATTCAGTCTGTGCTCTCAAAAAAATGACCAAAGAATTCATGGCAAGTTAGTGTGATTTGTGTGTGAATTTTCCAATTGTATTTCAGACTTTAAGAAAGAAAGGCCTTAATGGTTGTGAGAGCCCTGATGCTGACGATTACTTTGAGCACAGTCCACTCTCGGAGGACAGATTCAGCAAACTAAATGAAGATAGTGATTTTATTTTCAAACGAGGCCCTGTAAGTACTTTTCCTTTACCTCTCCTTGTTACTTGTTGATCCTTTTTGTTAACTTCATTATCTAGGCTCTGAACAAGAAGGAGCACAGAGGGTGCGACAGCCCAGATCCTGATACTTCATATGTGCTAACTCCACATACAGAAGAGAAATACAAAAAAATTAATGAGGAGTTTGATAATATGATGAGGAGTCATAAAATCGCAGTGAGTACGAAAGTATGGTTTGTGCTTTTATCTGTGCATGAAGACTCTGACTACACACCTTACCATTTTCATAGGTGATGACAACAATAGAAGTGTTAGAATGCCACTATTTTAACTAATTTTTATTTGCTTTAGAGAATTTTAAATAATCACTGTTTTAACAATAGAAGGAAAAGAAAATTATTCTGTACATTCTCTACTACTTAATTCCCTTGTGTCTGAGATTCCAGCTTCTTCATCTCTAAATGAGTGATTTAGCTCAAGCAGGATCCTTTCTAACTCTAATATTTGATGGTTTCATAGAGAGTATATGTATATAAGACTTCACTCTACTTTCCTTGACTTATTAAAATTGTTATGTATGCTTGAATAGATATCTATATTATAAAATGTAGTGATTAGATTTTTTAATAAAATTTGATATTTCAGAATTATTTGTAATACATAATTTTTGTAATAGTAGTACAGCTAATCAAGGATGCTTTGGGCAGAATGTTAAATGATCCCAGGAAGTATTAAAAGAAGATGGAAGGAATATACTGAGTCATTATATAGAAAGGAATTGGCAGATACAGAGGAATTTAAAGAAATAACATATGAGCAAGAGCCTATGGTGATGAAGGAAGAAGTTCAAGCTGCTTTGAAGGAAATAGCAAAAAATAAGGCCCCAGGAATAGATGGTCTACCAATTGAAGTATTTCAGATAACAGATGTTGCCCTGGATGTGCTCACCAAGTTGTGCCAAGAAATCTGGAGAACAACCACTTGGCCAACTGACTGGAAGAGATCTATATTTGTTCCCATTCCAAAGAAAGGTGACCCAACTGAGTGTGGAAACTACAGAACAGTGTCATTGATTTCACATGCAAGCAAGAGTCTACTGAAGATTATCCAAAAACGATTAGAACAGCACATCAGCAGAGAACTGCCGGAAGTCCAGGCTGGGTTTAGAAGGGGTCGAGGTACTAGGGATATTGTTGATGATGTTAGATGGATCTTGGCTGAAAGCAGAGAATACCAGAAGAATGCCTATCTGTGTTTCATTGATTATGCAAAGGCATTTGACTGTGTGGATCATAACAAACTGTGGCTGACTCTGAGAAGAATGGGAATCCCAGAACATTTAAATGTGCTAATGCGAAACCTGTAGTTGGACCAAGAGGCAGTAGTCAGAACAGAGCAGGGTAACACTACATGGTTCAAAATTGGGAAGGGTGTACACCAGGGATGCATCCTGTCTCCATACCTTTTCGACATGTATGCAGAGCAGATTATCCGAGAGGCTGGGCTTTATGAGGAGAATTGTGGCATCAGAATTGGTGGAAGGTCTATTAACAATCTGCGTTATGCAGATGACACAACCCTGCTTGCTGAAACTGAGGAGGACCTCATGCACTTGCTGCGAAGGGTCAAGGACTGCAGCCTTCAGTATGGACTGAGGCTCAATGTCAAGAAGACAAAGATTCTCACCACTGGACCAGTTGGCAGCATCAGGATGGATGACAAAGAGATTGAGAGTGTTCACAGCTTCAGTTTGCTCGGCTCCACAGTCAACACTCTTGGCACCAGCAGTCAGGAAATCAAAAAGCGTATCGAGATGGGAAAGTCTGCTGTTAGGGACCTCTCTAAAGTACTCAGGAACAACAGTGTCTCTCTGGAGACTAAGGTGCACCTGATATAGGCCATGGTATTTGCAGTCACTTGTTATGCATCAGAGAGTTGGACAATGACTAGGGAGGACAGAAGGAGAGTGGATGCTTTTGAGCTGTGGTGCTGGAGAAGGGTACTGAATGTACCATGGACTGCCAGGAAAACAAACAGATTCATCTTGGAGAGGATTAAACCAAGCTACTCTTTGGAGGCAAGGATTCTGGGGCTTCGTCTGACATACTTTGGACATGTTGCCAGGAGGGACGGGTCCTTGGAGAGGGACATCATGCTTGGGAGGGTGGAGGGACAGCGCAGGAGGGGAAGACCCTCTATGAGATGGATTGATTCGGTGACTGGGGTAATCAGGATGGGTGTGTCAGAGGCGGTGTGGTTGGTGCAGGATAGAGCAGGGTTTAGGGCTGTTGTGCATAGAGTCGCTATGAGTCGCAAACGACTCGACGGCACATAACAACAACAGTACAGCTAAAAGCCATTTGATTCTTTGTAAATTTTCCACTTTACAACATCTACTATGAATCTTCTACTCTTAAATTATAGACATTGAGGAAGAGAAACTTAATTTTGTTTTAATATAAACAAGCAATGTACTTAAACTAATTGTAAAACAAATAGTTGCTTTAAGCTTTTTTCTATTCTCATACAGTTAATACTGAAATAGTACTTCTTTGAGTATATGTTACTGAACTTGGAGGTTCTTTTAAGAGCTCTGTTGTTAGGTGCCATCTAGTCAACTACAACTCATAGCAACCCTGCGAACAGATCTAAACCTTGCCCTGTCTTGCACCATCCTCATCATCTCTCATTTGTTTCATTCACTGTATTAGTCCTCCTTGTTGAACATCATCCCCTCTTTCATTAAGTCTCTACCTTCTCAAGCATTATGTCCTCTTTCAAGGACTGGTCTTTCCTAACAGCAAAAGCAAAAAACCCCAAAATGTGTGAGGTGAAGCTTATGTAATAGGCCTCCTAAGATCACCCTGGCTGCAGTTTCCCAGGACATACTGATTTAGTAATTTGGCAGTCCATAGGATATTCAATACTTTCCTCCAAAACCATATTGAAAAAGTGTTAATTCTTCCAATGCATACATAACAAGTAATTGAAAAGATCACAGCTGGGATCAGATGCACCGTAGTCACCTGTGACTCCATTGATAAGAAATACTTAAGGTGGCTATAAAGTATAGACTTTATGAAACATGTAGTTAGTTCCAGAACTGATACTTCATTATTAGGGTAAATTTTTTTAAAACCATGCATCAGAGATAAATTCTTCAAAGTAGGTTTACACAAAAAGAAGCCGTTTGTGAAAAATAGATTTAAGTGGGCTTTGCTGTGATGATTTTTTTAAAATACTGTTTGGCAAACAGAATATACTTTGCAGATATTTTGTGAGGAATAACCAGCTAATGTGATACTGCAGAAATAATTGCATGAGTAAAGTAGTTTTTCTTTTGAAACAATTTTAAACCATTTGTGTTTTAAATTATATATGCATTGTTTTTAATTTGTTGATTAATAACTCTAATTCTCCATCTGAACAGAGAATATAAACTGTATATCCTTCAACTTTGAGTTGTCCATGTACCTTATTATGTAAATCATTATTTTAAAATGTGGGGGAAGGAAGTTACTTTCGTATTTTAGATTATGTAGTAGACCTATTTATCATGGTTAAAAAGCATTTTGTAAATGGTGTATGTTAAAAATGCCAGAGGAAAACAAATCAAACCAAAATTATTGTGAATAGGTAAAATATTTTAGAGAGAGGAAAGATAGCATAATATTTTAAATTTAATCTTAATAACATTTAGAGACTTCAAACCTGATTTCTTTACTAATTCATCAGTAACTAATCTTGTTGTTTAAACTGTTTTTTCTTTTTATTACACCTAGATTGCATTTGGTTATATATACAATAATTTTATTTTTCTTTCATTTTGCTCTTTAGGAATGCGAGTCAGTTAAACCAGACTTGTAATTTTTTTATAATACCCTAAGTTTGACTTATTAAGTTGATAATAAATTTATATTTTTCCCCACCTGTTATATTTTCTCCTTTTAGAGATGTAACATTGCTAATTTATGCTTAGTAATAGTGGTATATTTTTTTAATATCTAAAATTGACCACACTGCTATAGTAGATTCTGACCTGTAATTTTTATCTATATAAATATTTGAAATTTATAACTATTAGTTTTTATGCTGTCAGTGTCTAAAAGTAGAAACTGACAAAGGTTCATGTCAAATAACATTCACACTAAAGTGTAATTCTAAAGGAAATAACATTAAATTTGTAAATAGATTTTAAAACCAGTCTCTTAAAAAAAAGAAACCTTATCTCTATCTTCTGTCAATTACTAGAGGTACTTTGTAAAATAAAGTTTCTAGAGTCAGTTAATATAGATGGAAGTTAAACTAACAGTTTTTCCTTTGTTGTTCTTTATTTACAGCCTGGTTTACCACCTCAAAACTTCTCAATGTCTGTCACAGTCCCTGTGACTAGCCCTAATGCATTATCGTACACTAACCCAGGGAGTTCACTTGTGTCTCCATCTTTGACATCCAGCTCAACATTAGCAGATTCAGGCATGCTTTCTCCACCTCATACAACATTACATAGAAATGTATCCCCTGGAACTCCTCAGAGACCACCAAGTACTGGCAGTGCAGGTGTGTGTGTGTAGTATCTGTTCTGCTTGTTTTTTAACAGAGGGGTCTGGAAGAACTAGTTACTAGAATAAGACCAAATTATCTACTGTTTATTGCTTTGAGGACCGAGATTCACCGCTACATGATTGGTTCCATTCTAAATTCTTTTTTCTGTCCTCCTATAATACTAACACTGTGCCAGTCACAGTGAAACTTTATGAAGAATCTGCCTTCTATCATGAGAAAGCCATTATTTTGCCTGTCAGAAAATTTAATTAGGTAATCATAAGCAAGGATTTAGAAGGAGTGTTTCAGTGATGCATCCTGTCTCCATACCTTTTCAATCTCTATGCAGAATAGATCATTCAGGAAGCTGGGCTTTATGAGGAGGAATGTGGCATCAGGATTGGAGGAAGACTCATCAACAACCTATGTTATGCAAACACAAACTTGCTTGCCGAAACTGAGGAGGACCTCAAGTGCTTGCTGCAGAAGGTTAAGAACTGTAGTCTTCAATATGGATTGAAACTCAACATCAAGAAGACAAAGATTCTCACCACTGGCCCAGTTGGTAGCACAATGATAGATGGAGAAGATACTGAGGTTGTTGACATTTATAGCTGGCTCGACTACACAGTCACCACTCTTGGCACCAGCAGTCAGACAATCAAAAGACAAATTGCATCGGGAAAATCAGCTGTCAGGGATCTCTCCAGAGTACTAAAGAGCAGTCATGTCAGTCTTGAGACTAAGGTGTGCCTAATCTAGGCCATGGTTTTCACAGTTACTTGCTATGCTTCAGAAAGCTGGAGAATGACTAAGAAGAAGAAGCAGTGCCTTTAATTTGTGGTGCTGGAGAAGAGTCTTGCGCATACTGTGGACTGCCAGGAAAACAGATAAGCCTATCTTAGAGTGAAATCAGGTTTCTCCTTAGAGGTTAGGATTTTGACGCTCCATCTCACATACTTTGGTCACGTGGCCAGGAGGGACCAATCCTTGGAAGGTTGGAGGGACAGTTCAGGAGAGGAAGACCCTGGATGAAATGGACTGATACAGTAACTGGGGTAATGGGGATAGGTGTGTCAGAATTCATGAGACTGACTTAGGACAGCGCAGGCATCAGAGCTATTGTACATAGGATCACTGTGAGTCACAGGTGATTCAACAGCACATAGCAACAATAACATAGGCACATTGGGTATAAGTTCTGCAGCTAATTGTTAGTGATTCAGACTCACTCTTTAACTCCACATGAATTCCTGATCCACATGAGTGAGCTTCTCCTATAAAGGTGCAATTCACCCAATCAAACCAACTCATACCTGAGCCTCCAGCATGTTTTCAGAATCTAAATCATGCAGAGGGGATTGCCCATCCTTCTTCCTCAGAGCATCTGGTGGATTGCACCTGCATTCTCCTGGGTTGACAGTGCAACTCTCTACCACTGGGCTACCAGTGGTCCTGTAAAGATTTCCACCTTGAAAACCCTCTGGTAGATAACTATGAATTGAAAATAGATTTGAATGTGGTTAACAACAGTAAGCCATTTGTATTATAAATACAGGTATATTATCATTTCAATGTCCATGGTACATTCTGTGAAATAGGACATTGAGTGATTGGGATTTTGTGTGAACCCTGTATTAAAACATCCTAGGAACCCACTTCTAGTTGTCCTTGTTACTGCTGTTTCTGAAGCTTTTGACAGAAAATGGTGAATGACTGCAAGCAGCAGTGTTGACTCAAAGGCCAGAACATGACCAGAAGAGAGAGCAAGACAAGAGGGAATAGACTGTGCCCATCCCGAGCCACACTTCACCTGCTTGAGCAGCACCAGCAGCGACCTGGGCCTTGCAGCTCCAGCTGCTGCCACCCACCTCCCAGACAAAGCCCCAGAGTCTGTGCCTAGGTCCATGTCCTCGCCTCTCCTACCTGTTTCCCAGTCGTGTTTCAGCAGTACAAGAGTCTGAATTTGTGATCTTTAAAGCCCTTAGGGAAAAAATAGTAAACAACAAAAAAGAAAATTGCTTTGGCTTTTTTGTTTTTTTCCTTAAATAAGAAAGTTTAGGGGACCATGGACATATGAGCAGTTGGATGTTGTCCAAATAGGCAGTATGCAGGTAGACTTGGGGGATTTAGACTCATTAGGTTTGTTTTGGTGTTTTGTTTAGTTTTGGGATTTTTTTCCATTCTCTTCTCTAAATAAGTTCATTCATTCATTCAGCAGACATGTACAGTATATTGATTACATTATTCTGTCATATAGTGTCTCCTCTCCTCTAGTCCTGGATTTAAAAGTACTCCCTGAGTATTAGCCCTGTATCTTACCAGTAGGAGCTTCCTAGGCAAGCTCAGCTGCATTAAATTGCACATTAATGCCATATTCTGACTGGGTCAGGTTTTAATTTTGTAAAAAATGGAGTTTAGTTTATGTATGTTCTGATAATATTCTCTCTGATAAGAGAGCTAATTTTATTCTTTCTCTCTCTCACATGTATTAGGTGGGATGTTGAACAGTTCTGACCTCACAGTGCCAAATGGAGCTGGAAGCAGTCCAGTGGGTGAGTAGATTTGTCCTGTACATTTCACGGATAACCATCTTATCTGAGACAATAGGAACATTCTTAAACCAGGAACTTTCTGTAAAGAAGAAAAATGGGGAAATAGGACTACAGTAGACCTGTCCCTTTGAATAATTATTTTAGTACGTTAATGAATACTTTTTAATATTTTCCATGTATTTATTCCCTATACATTGCCCTTAAGTTCAGTTATTGATGTTCCTTTGGAAAAATTAAACTGCCCAATAACGACATTAGATCAAGATAAAGTTAAGACTTAATAAACTGATCTTATAATAGCATGAAATGTTATTGGAATATGAAGAAATGGTGAATTTGTTTCTAAATATGCAAAAAGAAAAAGCATCTGTTTTAGAAGTATCATATAGAACATTTACACTTTGTCATAGTTATGACAAGTATGGAGATAGGTTACATCCCTGGCATATACCCTTCGCAGTTTTGAACCATGCAGTGTTTCCTTGCTCTATTCTGACAGCTGCCTCCTGGTCCAAGTATAGGTTTCTCATAAACACTATCAAGTGTTCTGGAATTCCATTCTTCTTAGAGTTAGCCACAGTTTGTTGTGATCCACATGGGGTAGAAAATGAAAAGTAAGGCTGAGATCCTGAGTATAGAATAATTAAGTCTACTTTATGTCAGATTGAAGTCCCACGAGGCAAAGAGAAAGAAAATTGTGTAGACTATTTGAATAAATAATCACTGAGAATTTTATGTCTCCTGTGTGTATAAAATATGTATATATGTACGTACACACACATACACAAGACTGTATATATAATTTAGTTCCAGTGTGCCAGTCCAGGTTCAGAAACTTGTGATAGGCTGATCCAGATACTTTCATGTTACCTTTTAACTTGTTCATATTTCCTGGTATATTAGTTTTCCATTTTCTTTATTATCTGCTTCTTTCCCAAAAGCTAGGATGTTTCAGGGTACCCAGTCAGAGATGGCAAGGATAAGAGTCAGTGTAGATCTGACATGTCCACGTGTGGCCAGATAGGACCATGGAGTATATCAGGTAAAGATGCCCAGTAAAGGGGAAGGGTCCTAATCAGAAGAAGTGCCCAACACTAGTCCAGGCAGAGGCTGGTTGCAGGACAGGTGTGGAATAGTCCATAGAATCTGAGAAGAACACTGTGAGAGCTACTGGCTCCAGATACCAGATAGCTTGGACATGGCCTGAGGTAGAGTTGGGCCAGGCAGGCAGGAGCTAGTCATGGGGACCAGGAGTTACATCTCACTACCTGGTTAGTAGTGAGTGAGGGCACAGAGACAAAAGCGAAAGGGGCAGATTGGACATTGTTAGCTTTTGTGGCTACCACTGCCACCACTGTCGTTCTAGGTTCCCATGCTCATAACATACAGATAAAATCTCACAATTATTCAGAAACAGCCAAAAGAAATACACCTGCAGGTAACTGTTAGAAATTCAGTCTGGATTCAAAAGAGACCATGGAATGAGGAATTTCATTGCTGATGTCAGCTGTATCTTGGCTGATAGCAAAGAATACCAAAAAGATGATTCCTTGTATTTTATTGACTGTGCAGAAGCATTTTAGTATGTGGATCATAACAAATTATGGTTAACATTGAGAATGACAATCCTAGAACATTTAATTGTGCTTATGCAGAATCTTTCCACAGAAACCATTCTCCCAGTAGAATAAGGGAACACTGCATGGTTTAAATTTTAAAAGAGGTATGCATCCGAGTTGTATCTCTTCTCCGTACCTCTGTGTACTGAGGAAATAATTCTAGAAGCTGGTCTTTATGAAGAATAGTACTGAGACTGGAGAAGGACTCATCAGTGTCCTGAGTTATGAAGATCACACAGCCTTGCTTACAGAAAGTGAAGAAGACTTGAAGCCCTGCTGAAAATCAAAGACTCAAACTTTCAAAATGCATTATGTGACAGAATCAAGAAAATGAAAATCCTCACAAATAAGACAGCATTATGGTCGATGGAGAAAAGATTGAAGTTGCCAACAATTTCCTTTAACCCAGATCCCTAATCAACACCCATGGTAGCAGCAGTCAAGAATTCTAAAGGTGTGTTACATTGAAGAAATCTGCTGTCAAAGACTTCTTTAAAGTGCTAAAGAGCAAAAAGGTCAGTTTAAAGACAGATGTGCCTTATCCAAGCCATAATATTTTCACTTGCTTCCTGTACATCTGAAAGTTGGACAGTAAATAAAGATGACAACAAAAGAACCAAATCCCTTGCTTAAGTCAATTCCACCACATGGTCATCCTTCATTGAGTTTCCGAGGCTGTAAATCTCTATAGGAGGAGACTGCGCATCTTTCTTTTGCAGAGCAGCTGATGATATTTTGGTTAGCAGCCCAATTCATAATGCAAAAAAGGTATAAAAATGTGCCACTCTTGAGTATAAAAGTTATAGTGTTGGGCAGCATTACTGAATATCTCAAAAAACAAACAAATCCTGGAGGCAAGGATGATGAAACTTCATCTCACATACTTTGGGCATGTTGTTAGGGAGGAGCCAATCTTTGGAGGGTGACATCATACTTGAAAAGGGGGAAGGTCAGCAAAAGAGATGAGTACCCTCAACCAGATGAATTGGCACAATGACGGTAACAGTGGGCTTAAGTATGTCACAGATAATGAGGACGGTGTAAGATAGAACATGGTTCAGATATGTTGTTGATAGGGTCACTATGAGTTGTAGTCATCTTGACAGCACCTAACATCACAAGAAATATGGAAGAAAGCACTTTTACATTTTTGAGGATGTTCTGTGCTTTGTGTAGTAATTATATTATTAATTCCAAAGTCAAGGGTGAAAATCATTTACATAGGGACTCTTACCACCTTTTTATGCTTTTTGTTATTTATTGCTCTCTGCACATGACAGAACTGAAACACTAATTTATTTTTATTTTAATGAACGTTTACAGACACTTAGGATTTCCATTCATTCATTGTTGCACTTTTCTCCCTGCCTACTCTCTCCCCCCAATTTGCTCTTCTCTTCGAGAAGTAAAAGAAAAGTTCTTTCATTGTTATAAAAGCCCTCCCCTCAAGTCCACTCCACTGTGCAGCCTTCATTCTGGACTTGTGTCATGACAATAATATCTAATCATATATTGCTTTTAAACAGTTCTCTCCCTCATCTTTTTTAATGCAGTATACATTATTTATCCCCTCTTTCTCAATCTTCCCTAAACCCCAGTGTCAGTCCCATTTTACAACAGTGGCCCTATACAATAGTTGTCCTTTTGTAACTGAGCTATTTCACTCAGCATAATGTCCTTTAGGGTCACCCATTTTGTAGAATATTTCATGAGTTCCTTTTTTTCACTGCAGCATAGTATTCCATTGTGTGAATATACCAGAGTTTGTCCATCTCTTGGTTTGTGGATGGGCACTTGGGTTGTTTTCACCTCTTACCTATTGTGAACAAAGCTACAATAAACATGGATGTTCATATAAGTGCTTGGATGGTGGTCATGGTTTCTTTGGGGTATTCCAGTAGTGGAATTGTTAGGTCAAATGGTATTTCTATTTGCAACTTTTTGAGAAAGTGCCGTACTTCCTTCCATAGTGGTTGCAGCATTTTACATTCTCACCAACAGTGAATAAAGGTTCCAGTTTCTTCACCACCTCACCATCATTTGATGTTTGCTGTTCTATTAAATTTTACTATTCTTACTGTGGTGAGATGATATCTCATAGTTGTTTTGATTTGCTTCTCTCAAAGAGCTTGGGATTTTGAACATTCCTTCATGTGCTTGTTGGCCATCTGAATGTCTTCTTTGGTGAAGTGTCTGTTCATATCCTGTGCCTGTTTTTCAATTGGGTTATTTACCTTTATCTTCTTGTGGTGCTCGAGTATTTTATAAACTCATAAGTCCTTTGTCTGACATGTCATTACCAAATATTTTTTCCCAATATATGGCTTCCCTTTTTACTGTATTAGAGATGTTTTTGGTTATGCATAAGGGTTTGATTCTTATAAGGTCCCATTCATCTATTTTATCATCTCCTTGTTGTAGATGTTTTAGAGTGCTTGGAAGACTGTTTATATTGTGGATTTGGACTTCTAGAGTTCTTCCAAGCTTTTCTTTAATGAAGTTTATAGTCCTTGGTTTTAGCCCTAGGTCCATGATCCACTTTTAGTTGGTTTTTATATATGGAGTGAGGTGTGGATCTTGCTTGAGTTTTCTGCAGATAGTTTCCCAGTTTTGCCAGCACCAGTACCATGCTGCCTTGACCACCACAGCAGTATAGTAGAATTTGAAATCAGGGAGTGAGATGCCTCCTACCTTGTTTCTCTTTTTAAGGAGTGCTTTGCTTATTCAGGGCCTCTTTACATTTCAGAGGAAATTGAAAGATTGCCTTTTCCATCTCATTGGAGAATGGAATGGGTATTTGTATTGGGATTGCATTGAACATGTAAATTGCCTTTGGTAATATTGTAGTGCCCATCTTAAGATTATAAATTGAGTCAGTTTAACATTACAACCCACATGCCAAGGACAACTGAAAATACATAAAGAATCAGGACTCTCCATGTTAAGCTTCTGAAAAGCTTGAAATAACTCTTCCACCAGTTACCTTCTTTTGTGACAATAATAGCCTTTTTTTAATTCTTAAAAGGAGAAAATAAGCCAAATTTTACCAACTTTTGCAATCAGAAGTCAATCGAACATAGAACCAGTGTGTGTTAATAATAATGGGTGACTGGAACGCAAACGTTGGGAACCAGGAAGAAGGATCAATAGTCAGAAAACGTGGACTTGGTGATTGAAATGAGGCAGGGGATAGAATGCTAGAATTCTGCACAAGTAATGATTTATTCATTGCAAATACCTTTTATAAGAAACAAACGCAAGCTATACACATGGATTTCCCCAGATGATATACACAGGATTCAGATCAATTACCTCTGTGGAAGGAATTGTTTGAGAAGTTCGATATCAGCAGTGAAAACTAGTCCAGGTGTTGATTGTGGA